GGGCATTACAAGTCCATGCTCAGGTATGCGAACCTCCAGCCGGAACGCTTTGCGAGGCTTTCGGTGTTCGTCAACCGCATGCTAACACGCAGCACCAACGAATCCATCAAGAACGCACGCCAGGGCCGTCCTCTCTCGCTCCTGGAGCTCACAATGATACATAACAGCGAGCTCGTCCTCCCGGCCAAACCTGACAGGGTTTACGCATTCATTGTAATCAAGAGCCTTTGCGAGAAGATGGAGGAGTTGATCCGCAAGGAGCTCTATCCCATTCTCGCCATTTGCAACTGGGATATGGACGAAAGTGAACAAGGGAGATACGCGCTGCGGGTCGCCGCGCGTGATTTGACCCCGTTTGCCTACAGGGTTGTCGACTTTCTTTGCCCTAGCATTTCTTTACCAGCACTAAGGAAGGTAGGGCGCTGCTGGAGATGGACAAGGCACCGGAAGAGGAGCGCGTGAGGAAAATACTGCGCGGGTCAAGGTTCGATTTGGCTTTTTGGTGGTTGTCTCGTGATCATTGACTGGGGGTGGGAGTACTATGCAGACGCAACAATAGAGATCCAAGCATGGTTGCACATTTGTAGTTCACTTTGTAAGGGATTCCGGGGAGGATGAAACAGGAGTTGAGGTGGTGGAAGTGGTGGTTGTCGGCGGGAATGCCCCTGGGTTAGGTGGGATTGGGCCGCTGGCAAAGATCGAGACAAAAACCGGAAGCCCGTGGATGAGACGCCCGGAGCAATCCAACCAACCAACTAACCGCCCATAACCTGAACCAACAGACCAACTCGGCCAATGTCAAGCCAACGTCGAGCTAACAACACGGTTCCAACGTTGGGCTATGATAACAAAAGAAGTTCATTTCAATACGGCGCTTTACGCTTCCCGACCCTCGATCACTTGACCGTTGAAATATGGCGTGGTTCCTTATCCTCGTCATAACGGGGGAGGATGGGCTTATGTTCACGCGCGTTCCATATGGATATATAGCTTCCTTCATCACGCAAGATCGTTCTGAGCCACTTCAATTCACTGTGTTACAATAGGTTGAAACTTCACTTTCGCCCTCACCAACGTGAACAGCAACATGACCAAACTATTGCAGGCTCTTCAAAAGCTCAAGACCTTATTGGGTTACAATATCCAAAACCCCAAGACACCATGCCCCTTTTCCAACACTTGCCAATGGATCTTTAAGGATCCGAAGTTCAAGAACTGGCTTGCATCCCACGATGCAAAAGAACCATGTGCCCGTCTTCTCACGATTTTTGGCGATCCAGGCTCTGGAAAAACAGTCTTGATGAACTCCATTGTGGAAAGATTCCGCCAGGAACCGTCCCTCCTCTCCACCACGGATGGCGAAGCACCGATTGTGCTGTACCATTCCTACAATGGCCCTAGGAATATCTGGCCATTCTCCCACGCTTACATGCTCTATAGCCTGTGTCAGCAGCTTGTCCAAGCACACAAACTCAAAGGGAAAGAATACGCTCTACCGGACCCCCTAGGTTGGTTCAACTCAAACCTCGATCGTTTTACCACCCTATTGATAGCCAATCCGGGGTCCTATTACATCTTTCTGGATGGCCCATCTGGGTTTGACATGAAGTGCCCGATCGGGCCTTCGCATGACTACAAGACCGACGACTTCCTAAAGTCCTTGGACACGACGAGGCTAAGGAACCCGAGTGGGAAACTGGACATCAAGATCTGTTACGCCTGCAGACCCGAAGGCCGGTTCCGAGACATCTTAGAGATGGACCCAAACATGCCTACGGGACTGAAGATGGAGCGCAAGAACAACACCGACATAGAAGAATTCTGGGCCGAACACCAAGAGCTCCTCGAAAACCCACCCAGTATGGAAGACATGTGGTACCAGAATGGGAAGATCAAGGACACGTATCGATTCTTTCCATGGCTGCAATATGAGATCTACCTACTCAAGAAGCAGCATAAGCCCTCGATGTTAACCGCCAAAGACGACATGGAGCAAGAAATGTGTCGAAAGTGGTACCGCACCATGCTACACGAAGCGACTTATAACTTTCAGCCGGAACGGCTCGAGAAACTCTCTGTCTACATCAACCGGATCCTCGCGCACGACGTCGAACCACTGAGAACTCTTCGTGCCGACCGTCCATTCACGCTTCTGGAGTTCACCCTGGCTGACCTGGAAGACGTTAAACCAAGCGAAGTTGACAACGAGGAGTTCGTCGAAGCTGCTTGCAAAGAGATGTCTAGGATGACCAATCAGAAACTCCATCCGTTCATCGTCGTCTCACCGCCAAACCCAAATATAGTCCTACAACGACAACCAGAGATATATCGAAACGAGATTCATCGACTGTCGGTCATGACTGTCACCCTCCTCTATCACAGTATGAGTGACTTCTTCCTGAACACCGAAGAAGGGAGAGCTTTCCTGGGGTTGGATCAAACCAAGAAGGATGACTGAATCAGGATGTTGCTCCGCGGCTCACAATTTGGCTTCAAAATCGGGACAACTACCACGGACGAGTTCTACGAAAAATATGACCGGCATGTGATGGCGGCGCCGGAGGCGACGACAATGAGAAAGCTGGTCCATTGGTCATTATCTAAGGAGAGTGAGCTTTTGCCGGAGGAGTGGATAAAGACGTTTCGGCCGGCTGCTAGGTCAGGCTCTGGACGATGAGGGACCAGGAGAAATACCAGTTTGCTTCGGTACCTCTATGCAACAAGTGACTCGGTTTCCTCAAAGTCCCATTTCACGCTGGGCCTGCATAAGGCTTGGTAAGAGGATTTGTCTGTAACGTGGGTAGCAAACGCTGTCAATCGTGGCTGGGTCTTGCTAGAGGGTTGCCTGCCGGGTAAAGGGGTTAAAAATTTAATAGACAAGAGATGTAGCGGGGGACGTCATGACTTCGTGAATTGAAGTAGCTGAAGGAATATACAATGAGATTCCAACTTTGTTCTTGCTCGTTCCGGCAGTGGTACAATAGGTACTACTTAGCTAACGCGATAAGATATTCTGTTCGTGTAAAGACATAACCCTTTTCTGCAAGTGACCCGTTAATCGCCGATACAGAACAAACGTGGAATGAAAAGCAGTAGGTAAAGCCACAGCACTGCTACAAAGACATGCAAGAGCCCGAGTAGGTCCGTCTATGGGAGATCATCCTCTTCAAAGAAGGACAATTCACTCTCCCCGTCACTGTGATTGACAACTTCATAACCATCGCTCCACGTCTCCACTTCACTCCAGCCATCCTCGTCCTCGCCCTCCTCCTCCTCCTCGTCATTATTCTCGAGGCTGCCATACCCGGAGTCCATGACCTCAAAAATCTCATCCTCACTCCCATCATCATCATCATCATCATCATCATCATCATCATCATCATCATCATCATCATCATCATCCTCCTCTTCATCTTGTCCTTCCCCCATCTCCTCCAATTCCTCCTCGCCAAACTGCCAATAAGGCAACCTCGCCCCATTCCAATTGAACTCCTCATCTCCAAGTCTATACATGTACTCCTCCTCCACCATCTCCTCCTCCAACTTCGTCTGCCGAACCTCAAATGCCCTCGCAAGCGCCAGCAGCGCCACCTCCGTCCTCTCTTTAGCCTCCTCGATAGAAACCCCCCTAAGCATCTGCAAAAGCCGCGACACGTTACCTCTAATGTTAACCCCGTCCTCGTTTCTCTGGAACAGTTCCCTCGACCAACACACAAACAGCGCCTGGTCCAGGTACAAGTACCTGTTCTTCCTAGTCCACATCGTCTTTGCCCAGATCTCGGGGGCGATTACCTTGATTCCCGACAGGTTGTCGGAGCGCCAGATTGTCTTGAGGACGGCAAAGACGTAAGCGAAGAAGAGGAGGCGGGTGCTTGGCCGGTGCGGACAGTCTGGTCGGAAGTGCAGGGGCTTGTTGTCTAGTTGGCGGGCGGTAAGGAATGTCACTTGGCCGTTGATGTCAGGTCCGGGAGCGTAGGGGGCGTTTAAAATATCTTCTGCTGCTTCGTCAACGATTATCCACTTATACTCGCGAGGCGAACTGGCTTCCCACTCCGCCAACGCCTCGGGGGACTTATAGTCCTCGTCGGCGAGGTTGGGGACGATGGCTAGGGCCCCGTTGTTGAGTGCCTCGGCTACGGCGTGCGGGACGATAACACCGTTGTCGGGGGAGAGGAGGTCAGGTGGGCTGTCGAATGGGAACAGCGCGGTGATGGTTTCCTGGCCTAGCTTGGGTGGGACGATATGTGTCACCACCATAGCAGAATCGTTTTGATATTCGCCGGAGACGCAGTCGAAGATGCAGCTTCGGTAGCCGGTGTGGTGGCCATTGTCGTGGGTGATACGGTGTATGCCGGCGTCGTAGGCAGTGAGGAGGGACTGGCGGAAGTTGACGCGGTCTGCCCGGGTTGGCTCGGCCACCACTCCCGCATTTTCTGTGGCAATACCAAGGTAGCTCTTCGCCAAGGACACAAATTCCTCGGGGACCACGCCGCCGTTGTCGACTTTGGCCGCTTGCAACTCGTATAGCCGCATCTTAAGCCATGCGGCCTTTGTCCTCGTCGTAATGGTCTCCGTCCACTGGGCGAGGTTCTCTTCTTCGTCTTCATCCTCTAGATGTCCCTTGTTTTGTAGTTCAAGAAGCCGTGCCTTCCAGTACTGGGTGTCGGCCTTGAGCACCGCAAGCTTGCGAGACGCAAGCCCTGTCGCTATCTTCCAAAACATGAGGTCGGAAGGGTGGAAGGACTTGAGTTCGGTCCTCATTTCCTCCATGCGTGCTTCTTCAGACTTGGTCCAGTAGCATCCCCTAAATTCGGGCAGCGGCGATGCTGACATGATGACTGAGATGTGGGTGATACGTGTTCGGATGGTGTAAGTATGTGATATTGTACCTAATGTATGCTTTGGCTTAAACTGGTCCAGGTGTCAGCTTCATGGTACAAGAGAGGGATGGAAATGTGGTGAAATCGGAGGTACCTACTGCTCATTGTAGCGGGTAAAAGATGCTACTTCCCGTCGGCGTGAAACCGATAGCAGGGTGCACGAATAATGGCTGTGATGGTAGGATTTCGTTGGTTTGATGTGAGTCAAGATGTCCTCAAAGCTTACGACAGGAAGGAGATTGGAAAGGGAAAACACTGAGCACTAAAGAGAGATGGGGGGATGATGGATTTATATCTTCCCTGGTTGTGTCAAAAATCAACAAAACATCAAATGCACCGGATGTCCGATGCTTTTGTCTCGCATATCTGGCTTTTTCCAAAAATTGATGCCGCATATTCCTGTTGTGCATGTGCTCTGTTGCGTGGCCCGGATGCATTGCATCTTTCCTATAAAACTTGGAGTGAGCGGAGTGGAGGATGCGCGTGTCTGCAAGTTGAATGTGGTACCCAAGTTGTGGGAAAATGAATGCAATGCGCAATCACCAGAAGTAAGCGGCAGTCTGTTACATTCATTGCCCGCATTACTTGGTTGACACGCAAGACTGGTGGGGGGCAAATGTGGCATGTTAGAGAACAGGAGTATAGCCGACGGTCGCCGACTCGCCCAAATTAGGTATGGGCACAAGTTCCGATGATTAGCCGAATTAGTGCTCTGTACCTAACAGATTCCGGGCGAATTTGTGTGCACCTCAGATAAGTCCCTATTGCGTTAATGGGTTGTCTTGCTAAGTGGGGACACATTTCAACGTCATGTCATCCGAACTGACAATCTTCCTCCCAACATTCACAAAGAATTCGTAGATTGCCGCCGCCTGTCAACAGGAGACAAGACACCAATCTACCACCCTAGACCTTCAAGAGTGTAGGATGCACAAAATGCTCCGAAGGGTTGAAGTAACAATGTGACTTTCTCCTCAGCCGACGGATGAAGAAGAGCGACACTGCGTTGGAGCAAAAGTGAGTCAGGGCTCGGTTATTAAACGGTTCGTCTTGATCAAAGTCAAACGTTGAGTTACCCTGAAATGGATGTGAAAAGCCTATAACGATGCATTGGGAATAGTTTTCGAGCAATGTGTACATCAGTCGCACTAATACCCTCACCGTCGTCCGGTGGCGGGATCAGGACCGAGTTGACTTGTTCCGGGATGCCGGTGTTGCTATTAGTGTAACGGCAGATGAGTATGTCAATGTGGCTAGGGGTAACGGCATCCTACTCTTTACGGACCCAAGAGTTTGAGTCCCAGGCTGCACAGGCGAGGTTGATGCCCCGCTTGTGAAGTCAATAAGCCAAGGCCGTGTCCGACAATTTCACAGCCTCACGAGCTTTGAAAGTACCTCCCCACACGATAACGCGAGAGTCTGCCGCCAGTAAGATCCCTATGTACCAACGTGGGCGGTTCGTGCAGCTCGTCAAATTTCCCACTGTGCTCTCCCGCACAGGAGACTCGCTGGGCTAGTTGTCTTCGGAAGACTCGACGATCGAAGGCCTAGCACCATCCCCCCAGGTCTAAAGACCCCTTCTGCCAAATCCATGATACCTACCACTGTGCTCGTTGCTATCCGTCCACTGTGTAGTCGCCATATACGGCGCGCTGTGTAAAATGGAGCTAGCATCCCGAACGACGTGGCTAAGTTGCCCCATATCTTTTTATTGGCAGCTGCCTGCCCTCCCGCCGTCTGTCTGTCCGTTCGTTTGTGCCAAGCACTTCTACTTCGTGAGCAGTGGGTAGATGGTTGTGGGGATCGTTTATTCCTCCCGACTGTAATCATCGTTGCAACCGTCATCTTGATTCATTTTGCAGTATCAGCTTCGCTTCGTCGACCCTGCTCTTCACCGTCCGCAAGCGCGCACGGCGAAAGCTTCATTCATTTCCGAAGCAGTCAGAGACCCTTGCATTCACTGGAAAAACAAGAGATCGCTACCAAGCATACAGGTCACAGAGTCCACGCGACCACAAAAAATGGCAAGAATGGAAGAGGCCTTGTTGGCACAGGTAGATGTTGTGGTGGGGTCTGTCCCACCTCCATTCACTGACATTGTCATGTGGGCCCACCAGCCCGCACCACCATGTATTTAGCCCTCCACATTTTCTTTTCCTTTCTTGTCTTCCTAGTTTAACACAATCAACACACTTCTTGTGCCCACAAACCCCAAGAGTAGACCCCGTACCCTGGTACACTGCTCGTCCGCATCCGCCGCCGCCCTACACTTCACCACCCGCCGGGTTCTAGACCGTCGGATCCGTGGCGCTTGACTCCTTTCTTACTCTCGAGCTGCTCAGCCTCACTGTCCGCTGCATCAAAGTGGTGCTTAAGGTCATCAAAGCCACTAGTGATGGTAGAGCTTGGTATGAGAAGCTTCTGAAAATACCGGGCGTACTCGATAGTTACTTGAGTACAGTGATCGTCACAGCCGAGACGAAGAAGGGGCCAAAAATGATGGTGGAGCTGGCAAGGCAATGCGTCTACGACGTTCGGCAGTTTGGAAGAAGAGTTGAGCGCATTGCGCGTATGCCTCTCGAGGACACAAGGACTGAGAGCCGGGAGTTTGACGAGATGGAGCAGGAGTCGTGAGTTAACTCTTCATTCGACAATTTTGATGCGATACTGACGAGAAACGGGACAGGGCTCGTATACAGGCAAAGCTCATGGATGTCGTCCTCACGGTGTTCAGGGAGGAGTATTTGCGCCAGCTATGGTACGTATATCGGCCTAGTCACGATTATGGAACCTGTAGCACTGACCTAACATCAACAAGCTCCTACGAGGAGTCACTGGATCTTACCACCCGCAATCAATTCGGCAGCATCGAGGAAATCAACCCGTAGTTACATCGGCTCATTAGCCTCCTATCGACCCTTCCCACATTCACACATCCTGTGCGGCGCGCTATCATCACGGCGCTCAACCAAAAGTTCGGCGACGAAACTGAAGCTGACTTCTTTGAAGCCATAAGCGAACCAACCTTTTCCGATCTTCGAGGAAAGATATTACAAAGTCTTCGCTACCCCAACCAAAATTCTCGATTCGAACTCATCTCCGAGCCAAGCCCTGGCACTTGCAAGTGGATTTTTGATGCGACTATTGGCAATGCGAAGGGAACATTTGGCACTTGGCTCAAGGCCAATGTCGACACAGGCCTCGATAGGCGTTTTTGGATCTCCGGAGACCCCGGAACCGGAAAAAGTGTGTTGATGAAGTACCTTGTCATGGAGGCGCAAAGGAATCCAGAAATACTCAAAAAGACAGAAAGCGAAGAGGCTCCCATTGTGTTTTCACACTTCTTCAACCACGAGGGAGACCTGATCCATTGCACAACGCGAGGCATGATCTTGAACTTGCTAGTTCAGCTTTTCGAGCAAGATCCCCTTCTCTTGGACGCACGGTTCTTCATCTTCATGACCGATGTCATGAAACACCAGAAGCGCAAGACCAGCGCCGAATAGAAAGGCTACACACTTTGGGATCTCTTGAAGAGAGTTCTAGGAGACGTCAAGGAAAGGAAGAAAAAGGTCTTCATTTTCATCGACGACCCGAGTGGCTTCGACATGAAGTTACTCGACGCTGCCTATCCTCAACGAGAAGACATCCCCCGCAATGGTTCCATCCATTCACTTATCGACTGCGAACCTTACCGCAAGCCTCAGCCTACGCAACTCATCTATTTCCTGAGCTACTATACCGAGGTCAAGATCATCGTAGCCGCCAGACCGGAAGGTGCCTTCCACAAGATGTACTGGAAGTCACAACTGCATCTCTCCCCCTTCCTTTTACGCCCTGCCATCAAGGCCGTCTGCCACAGCACTCTCGATTATCTCTGGCTCACGCAGCGGCACTCCTTCACTCGCAAGATCCTCAACGACCCTGCATCCAACAGCTCCTTCACCGAAGCCCTGGACGTCCTTGACATAATCAGGCGCCAAACCTCCGGCTACATCATCGCGGAGCTCCCGCCCCCGCTCCGCCGCTCCCAAATACTCTACACCTCCTTCATCGCGCGCTTCTATGAGTCCCATACCAAGCTGGAGATGAGATCGCTCGCCAGGATTTTGAACCTCATTCTCGCCTACCATTCTCCCTCCCTCCATCAATACGCTCCGGTCCAACCGCCCGCTTTCGCTCCTGCAGTTAACACTTTGCTTCAAAGAGTGCTTGGTCAACAACTGCCTTTTCAAAGGAGCCTTTGAGGCACCGCCTGATATCCGCGACATGTGCAAGGAGGTAGCAAAGCTGATCAAAGAGCAGTTATACCCGTTCATGACTTTGCGCGAGATGGACAACCCGCCTTTTTGTTTTGACAAAGGCGCGGAAGGAATGGACAGTATGGCCCTGGTGCAAGAGGCGATTACAGAGGTCTGTTTCCTCCGACCTAGCTTGGCTGAGTTCTTAACTAGTACTACGCAGGGGAGGGAGTTATTGTGACAAGGACAGTATTCTGGGCTTGGAACAGTAGTTCAATTCAGCTAATAAACTACTTTGGTCTCGAAGGCCTTGTTGATCCTCTCAACCTCTAGGGGAAGGCTGGGATTCGAGGTCTTCTTATGCCAAAGGGAAACGGTACGTATCCAGTACGTACGGGTCCTTGTCACCTGAGGCTCCAAGGCACCTAGCGATCTGCATACATGTAGGTCTTTCTCGTATGACACCAGGAGTGTGGCATATGTCCGTGTGACAGTTATTGAGCCTTGATGATGCGAACCCGCCGTGTTTGGCGGATGTAGCGACTAGAAACGAGTGGATGCAGCGCTTGGCCGTGGCTGGAGCGATGGGTGAGGAAGTGAGGAGGAGTGAGTTGGCCAGAGATCGGTTGAAATTGTTGTTGCGGGCGGGAAGGTTTGACGAGATTGTGTTGTGGCAAGCTTCAGCGAAGGCACAGGACAATGGGAAGATGGCGAGCGAGTTAGGAAGGGCGTACAGGCATTTTGTCTGTTTTGCGCAAAGGTCGACTGTGCTGGGGGTTTTCAAAAGAAGACGAAGTCTTTCCGGAGAGTTGGGTAGTGGAGTTTGCGAATGGGAAGTAGACTGAATGGGTGCCATGAAGTTAAGCTGGGTCCAGGTTTCGGTCACCAGTGTAGGGAGGCAAAGTGGCGTTATACCCAAGTAGACATAATACATGTATCTGGAGTGCTGGTAATGCTTTATTGCTTCCTTCTTCATCTTCAAGGGCAGATGGCCATTATAATTCCCTGTTCTTTCCATGCCTTCTAGTCTCTCCGTTGATGAAAGCCCCTAGAATGTGAGCTAGACGTTGAACCCAGCAGGACTTAGTCTATTCGAGATTTCAGTGAACGTTCTGTCAATCATCCAGTACCTAGTTGTAGAAAACTACGGTACAAACAGGGAACGCCGATACCACTTACCCCTGCGTAACTCAATGTCAACGTAGCTGCGCATTCTCATTCTCACTAAAAGCGAGCTGTATCAGGTCACCAGGAACGTTACCGGCTGCCATGGTAAACTTGCCCTCAGAAGTGACTTGAATCTGGATCGGACACTGGGCTCTGAAGAAGACATAGACCGGTGTTGCCACTTGGATTGTCCTGGTGGTGAGAATCCGGACCTGTCTACTCTCAGTGGCTTCATGGTTGGATACTGTAAGGATGCAAGAGCCTTTCAATGACAAATTTTGCGCTGTTATCGGTTATAATCGTGCCCATCCCGGGACCACTGGTGCGAAGCTTGGATCTGTTCAAGTTCGTTTTGTGCGTGCAAGTTATGATGCAAGGAAGGGTCTTGGTGATAATAACCCCGACAGTTACAAATATTGTACAGTTGTAGTGTAAATGATCTACCGCGTCGCATTAGAACCTGCTTTGTAGCGAGCAATCGCTTCTGCTGCCAACTCCATAGGTAGGTAGGGGAGCGCGTGCAGGGGTGGTCGTTCGATTAGTCGCTTCAAGCGTTCTCCTCATCCTCCTGATCTTGCTCTTCGGAGTCTTTGATCTCGGAGTGGTATGATACATTCTTCGTCTTCCGTCGCTTGGACGAGCGAGCTTGCTGGCTACCACAGATCCCTGTATCTTGGCTTTCGGCACCGGCGGTTTCTGTCCAGCACGAGGGGACTTGCGGCTGGCAGCGGCCTTCTCCTTCTTGTTGCGCTTTCCAAAGTCCAAGAAAATTCTAATTTTGGCATCAATGTTCGTCAGGATTTGCGGGGAGAAAGACATTTTGACAGCCGAGGTAGGTTATAAGCTTGTACGAAGTGGGACCTAGAGCGAAGCACAGTCGGTTGTTGAAGGGTGAGTTTGAGCAGGACGAAATCCCATACCCTTTTATACAGGAATCAAGTGATAAGTCGTGACTCCGGTGATGACTCAAGTGCAACTCAAGTGCGACTTCTATTGGCGATAGCGGCAGGCACAGTCACTCCATCACGCGAATACCTAGGTACGACTCAGGGCAAGTATGGTTTGCGCAGCGAATGGGCTTTTTTCTATGTCTTAAATACCTCTACTGATTTTGAAGGGAGCCTGCTTCCAGGCGCAATGGTTCCGATTCAGACACTTTAAAAAATTGAGGTCAGTTTTTAGATTTGAGAGAAAGTTCTACAAAAGAGTTCGAGAGGTTTTTAGAATCTAGGTATATATGACCAATGGCGGGGCAATGAACTCCTTCTATCATGCCTCGAGATGATCGGTCACTTCAATAAACCACCAGCACAGTGTGTATCTCTCAGGACAAGGAGAGGGGCTAGATTTCATCTCATCTTCAAAATGAATATTCTGGTCATTTGTGCGGAAGAGTGATCCACTTACTGATCCTTCCGGTCACCGGCTGTGGCAGTTCATCTTCGCTCACGTCCCCGTGGTTTCTCCCGCTTTTCTCTCTTTTCTTTTCTCCACACAGTCGCGTCTGGTCGCTTTTCTCCTTCGCGTTTCTTCATCAAACTGAACAAATTCTCATATCTCACCAACCTCGACTCAGCTTACAGCACACAAGAAAAGCTTCATCCAACTCTCCCCTCCTACTTCATCCAAACCCCAAGCTCTTCCCCATAGAAATCACCTTCTCCACGTCGCATCACCAAAGTAAGTCACCAGAAAGTACACCGTGAAGTGATACCCGTGAAACCCAGCTACGAGTGATATGCTTGTTGGATGAGGATCCTCTTCAGCAGAAGCGTGGTTGGCTTCATAAGTGGATTGGTACGCCGGTACTCCTGGCCACATCCACGATGCTACCCGCAATTCTGTCCATCGCCCTCAGCCCGGACTGCGGTACGGCCTCGGCCCTCGTATATTGCGCGATGCCGCACACCTTCTTCCCGAAAACGGTATCCTCGGTTTCGCCGCCGAGTATCCTGTTTTTCAAGATGAAAGTGATGACCATCAGACCCCTCACCGTCCACCTATGCCGGCAACACCAACGGTTTGCCGGTCCTCGATCCTGCCCAACAATTCCGTCCCTTCGGTGGAGACTCCAGATGTTGCCGCTGTCGTTCCGTCGGCTTTCACTGCTTTGGTAGAAGCTATGATTTGCTTCGCCAGCTGGTTCGGCGGTTCCGGCTACTTTTTATGTTCCCGCGGGCTTGCCTCAGGCAGTAAACTCAAGCACATATCAAGACCTGGAGGCTAACACACATTTGAACCCAGATGTCTTTCCCCCTCACCGTCGAACGCGAAGGGTTCAACGTTTACTGGGTGACAATCACGAGCGAGCGACTGGAAGTGTGCGTCCTGCACACATGTGGCCCCGCCTGGATCCATATCGAAGGCGAAGTCATCTCCCGCTTTGTATGCAGGGGAGGCTCGGGGGTTTTCGTGCCGTTCGATGCCGTCATGATGGTGGAGAGCCGGCCTGTCCGCGTTGTCCTCATCACGGAGGGCGTGACCATGATCCGGGTCCAGTCGCCTCGTGGAGCGATGATGATCATTTTCGATCGTCTAGATGCCGAAGCCGCCTCGCAGGGGCAGGAGGCCCAGGATGAGGAGGAAGAGGAAGAGGAAGACGAGTATGTCCCGCCGAGTCCTTGAGGTTAGTTCATTCACTCCACATCCAAGTCTTCTTCATTTATTGTATGCATGTCTGGTGGAATGCTAACAAGTTGGTTTATTTGTAGTAGCTAGGTAAAGCATGCAGGGAGCTTCGTTGCTGTTGGCTTTCGTGGCGCTGCGTTTGTTCATGCTGCGAGTGTCCACTCTCCTGCGCTCGTTTCTGTTCTTGTTCTTTGGGCGTTTTGGGGTCTCGGTGTTGGTAGCGGCGGCGTTAAAGGGTAATGGGGAGATTCTTGTTGTGCTTTTACAAAAGCTGTGGGTTGATATCTCTGGTCTAGCGTTGAATGGGTCGTTTTAGGGCTTGAAAGTCAGGGTGCATGCGTTTGGGTAAGGTGCCAGTGTTCATGTACGAGGAAAAGAATGCGGATTTGTGGGTGGCAAAATTCTTTACATGCTTGTGCTGTGCCCTTTTAATGCAGTCACATAAGGCAGCAAAGATGTTTGGCCACAACGGTGCAGAGACGGAGAGTAATACCAAAGGAAGTAGGTACAGGTTCTCAATGGAAGGAAGTCACTCAGGCATCCATTTTGTCTGATCCATGCATTACGAAACATGTCATCTATTCCAGGTTCTTCATTAGTAAGCCATCCATTTGACATACAGATGCAATGACACGCCCATCCTTTCAGGAACGAGTACAGCGATAGAATTATTATTACTAAACCGTGCAGCCACAGAGACGCCAACAATGGTACCATTCGAAAGCAAGAAATAGGCTATATTGCCCCTTCCTCCTTGCATATCCTACTCATTCCTTACCCTTTCCCTTCTATGTCATTGATATACAAAACTATACAAATTGTACATAGGGTACACTCCACGCACGCCCAAAGACCCTACAAACACGCCTACTACTGAAGGCAAAGTGGCTACAACCGAACTTACTCTTATAAATATTGTCACGGAATGCACTCTGGTGTCTCTGCCAGGACAAACTATATAAGGCTACTTGAGCGACCGAACTGCCAGCTTCGGTTACTTGTATCCTTTTGGAACATACTCTAGTGGTATAGTGGTCCGCCAGCGCTGTGACAAATGCTATAAGAAATCTTACAATATTAGCGGTCCCAGCGGATTCAGCGGACTTATTAGATTAAATAGTGATGTTAAATAATATAAGAGAACAGGACTTAACTGGCTAAAATTGCCGTATCTTATGATAGCTGCCATTATGGAGCCATGTGTGGCGGTAGAACTCTCCTTTTTTTGTTACTTTCTATTGAACTTGGCCGTTACAATCCAATAAGGGATCACTTATGTAATTAGCTACATAGACCAATAAGGAGGCGCCGCAGTACCGGCGCCGCCGGAGCGGCGCAGCGGCGCACCATAGAGGACCCTTATATAAAGAAGTCTCCCAGACCTCTTATATAGGGCTCCTCAGCAAGCAATAGCTATCAAAATCTACCAGTACCTTTCGGCTACTACTCCGTTACTCTATTGTTCTATCCCAGCGATAATACTCCTGTGCTTATAACGGTTCGTCACATTGGCTGGTCGTTTTGTATAGTTTGGTCAAAAGAGAACGCCTAAGTACCTATTAAGAAGTTGACATTCTTTTGTTCTCAACCAAAAAAATCAATAACATTTAAAAGCCGTTGGATTACTCTTTAAGGCCCTGATATTAAGGATGGGAGGAAAAGGTGAGTTTATTTATCACCGTAGTTTCTTCTTTCTTCAGTGACACCAAAGAATATACTTGTTTGGGCGTATTTATAGGGTCCTTGGTCGGGACGTGGAGGGTACCCCTTGTACATTAACTGACATGAACATCCTATTTCCTTGACTGGACCTTTCTTCCCAGCATCCAGTTACACAGACGCAACCTGCTGCTATAAACTATATCCCGTCCTCCTCCATGCGTCATACCACCAATCTGGACACTCTCAAATCTTCTCCCCTTTTTATTTCTTCTTCCTATTCATTAACCGCGCTATGTCCTTCCGATATGCCATGTCTCCACGTGAATACACCCTCATCCACGTCCCGTCAGGAAATACAGGATACCACAGACGGTTCTGCCTATCAACAAATACGCAGACTCCAATGCCCGTTTGGCAACAACCTCATCCGTCTCAGAAGATTCATGTAGTCCTCAGGCTCCTCGCTGACGAGGTTTTGCAGGTACTTGATCGTATCCTTCGGCTCTTGTGATTCTTCTCTCCTCTCTTGCCTTCGTTCCACCGGCGCCGATGTCGTCTTTGTTGCTGTTTTCTTTTCGGATGTCGCCATGCAGATCATGCTGCTCATGTCATCGTTGTTGTTGTTGCCCAGACGACGTCTCTTGTTACTACCTTCGCTGCTGCCATCATGAGACTGGGGGTCCTCTTTTTTCGTCGGAATCCCTCGTCCTCTTCTTGCTTGGTGTCGCTGGCAATGAAGGGAGCAACTTTGGGCCAAAGTCCGCTAGACCTTCCGCCCAGTCGATAGAGTTTATCTCCGTCAAATCGTGAAGGCATTGCACCACGTAGTCGAACCGATCCTTGAAAGTTGCATTGTTGTGTTTCTTGTCCGTGAGCATGGCGGCAATGGCCGGTTTTGCCTTGTTCTGCCACTTTTCCTCACACCTTTGGAGGAATGTGTCGGAAGAAACTTGGTCAAAGTGCGCCTGTTCTTCTTCCGCGACTTGTTGCTCGGGAGTGCTGGGTGATGTACGAGGTGTCGAATACGGGGTGGCGTGCTCCTCGTTTTTGTACTCCTGTTCTTTGTTCACCTCCTCGTGGTCGTTCTCGGCCACTTGCTCCAGCTCGATCTCTGAATTACCGAGAGCTTCACACCAAGCAGACACGTCTTCATCGGGCGGACAGATGATGCCACGAACAGAAACATTCTGAGGGCTTCTCTGTGGCTGAGGTTCGTAGAGAGAGCTGTCGAGAGCTGTATATTCCGGGGGAGGGCTACCCGTCATGTCAAAGAAGTCGGCTTCGTCGTAAGTGCCCCTGTTGATGTTCGCAGCCTCCACTTCCTGTTCGGACTTCGTGCCCACGGGCAGGGCAAACAGAGGAGCACCGTAGATGTTCGTGGTCAGTTGATTGTTGACCTGGACAGACCAAGAGCTGCCCCATTGCGGTTGAGACCCTTGGATGGGGTAGAGAGGCATCTGTTGGAGAGACTTCAGTTGTTCGGTGAAGCTGGAGGAAGGTACCTCTAGAGCTGTATATGTCAATGGAGACGAGCTCGTCACGTCCACAGGACAGTCCCTCGAATAACCAGTATGGTACTTCTGCTCCTCCGGCATTTGTGCCGCTTCCATGGTCCAGAAATCATGAAAGTTGGAAGTAGCGTGAGTGTTTAGGTCGATGTCAGCGAGAAGACTAAAGTCGTCGTGGATTTCTTGGTTGACATCGTTTGTGAAATTCCAACCCATTGTTTGACCCTGTGCCTGAGACTCCACGTTAGCGGTTCCGCCTGAAGGAGAGGGGTAAGCGGCAGGGCAAAATGGGGGCTTTACCGGCACTGTAGAGACCATCTGCGGCTGATACCACTGCTGAAAAGCATCCTGAGTTGTCTGGTACTGGTTGGCAACATCAGGAGGAACTCCCATGTCTGCTAGGGAGGCTTGATCGTTGTTCAACCATGCTTCGTTGCCTATAGAGGATGCCCCGGGGTATTGTTGATCGTCGCAGTCAGGATTGGATGTTGAGCTGACATCGGTATGGGGGTACACTTTGGCTTGAGGTGTTTGGATGTTATATACTTGCTCGATGGCAGGGACCGTTTGGGCATCTGAATTCGCCGACAACGTATCGGTAGCCGGCAGGCTCTCGGTGGGATTGGGATACCACATGATTGTGAATCGAGGTGAGCAACAAGTAAGTTCGTAGATGTGTGGAATTTGAACTGAGGTCGATCTCCAGGAAGAAATTGGAGTTGCTTTGGATAAAAGGAAGAGAAAGGGAAATTGAAAGGGGTGGGGAGCGAGTGCTTATATACCTTTGCTCTGCATCCAGTTCATGGGATTAGAGTAAAGAATTCAATGTCCGCCACATGTCCTTTCAAGTTTTTTTTACGAGTTCCGGAATTTTTGATGAGCGTCTCGGACATGCGCCTTTTCAGAGGGGAGTCAGCTAACGCAACACGCATGCATACCTTAGTACATGCACTGCACAATTGGGAATCTTGCTGATATCGGCAGAGTTAATGCACTATCCCAATCACTCTGTTCCATGCCTTGGACCTTGGCAAAGCGACATATCATTCCCTCCTCCCCACCACATGCAGTGTTGATGTGCACATACATTATGTTTCTTTACTTCCTGGCCCTTTGAAGCGCACAATGTCCGGAAAATACCTACATGCATCGCAATCAGCCACTCAACCAGGAGAATTGGAGTTTAGAGGTAGCTGTATATTGACCGTTTCCTGCAGGTCCCTGATCCCACGTCTGCGGCTTCATGAAATGCAGATATTTCAGCATTACGCCGGGAAATTAATGGAAGTCGACGTGTCCTCGAATACGACAGACCGTGTCCAACATAAAGTCATCGTTCGCCACTGTCTTGGATTCCACGCAATTCCTGCTACCTCTGACCATAGCTGATATCGGTAGAAGTCATCTGGCTCCAAATGACCTGGTCACCACTCTTGCATCAAATCAATCAGACATCGATCCCCAACTGACCTCGGTGGATGTCCTGGATGTTGTTCAGAAGATACCTGTGCGTATAAAAATATACAACCTTATACGGGTGCTCTTCAAGACCAACATCCCAAGATGGAAATCCGGGAGCCGGCAGCGGAGATGGAGGTGCTCAAGCTCGGCTCCATTCCACACCTGCAATGTTAGAAGACTTCTCCAACTTCAATCCTTTTTGCTCACATTTCGGCTGCCGGTTCCGTCTAGGAAGGTTGCTAAAATTCTCCCTTTCAGCTCGCCACCGTTTCTTGTTTGTTAGCGTCGTCCAGTGTGAAATCCGGGTTGCCATATGTTAGTCGGTAGGTGCGGTGACTGGTGAAGCTTCTTCAGGACTGTCTCATGTACAGCCTGCCTGCTTATCTGAGGTCGAAATGCATTTTATCGCTGTTGCTCATACCGCCCTCTGGTAAAGGTACCTTAGAAAGCACTGCAATCCATATAAGCCTTCTGAGCTTATCGTACTTGTAGCCCTCGGCTCTAGTATAGGTAAGCAAGGGTCCTTAAGAGTCTATTCCACGTCCTGCCGAGTCTCATGTGCAAGCCATTCAGATTCCGGATATCCGTTGTTTGTGTGGCAACACTTCTGCTTCGAGCCGCCAGTCTTCTGCTTGCCTTCGGCGGTAGCCTGCCCGTCGCGCTTCTATTGGAGCTCCTTCTAGCGCTTCCTCTCAGCGAGAGAAGAATTGTTGGCGGTCGACAAGTGTCTCGAAACTCTTCTTAACGTTGGGTCCGCAACCCACTTCAATTTTGCCATGTTGAGTTCCATGCCCCTGGTAGCCATGTCTGGATGGACGCCTCCCGGACATTTCAATAGAGGTGTATGGCCAGTGTATTGCGAGGTAGCCAGGCTACTGTTTCCAGAAAAGGCGTTAGTACATGTTAATAGTAGGACGGTGAGTATCTATGGCAGTCGGAGTTTGCTAAGGACTGTGTAAAAGGTCACCTGTGGACCTTGCCCATGGCACGATGTCAGGCCATATGACGTCCATCCCAACTGTAACACAAGTGTGAAAAAGGGCTACCCTCCACGCACACCCAAAACCTCCCCGCGCACACCCATCAAGTACATCCCTGGAGGCCAGTCCCTAAAAAAGCGAGCCTACACGACTAAATGAATTGGTTTTCGTCGTACCCCTAATTCAAAACCTCTTTCAAAGCTGTATACACTTTTCTTTTTAATACCATCAGCCTCGTGGATCGGGAATGGTAAATGTCCAACTTGTTAGGTACTTCTCTATTTTCCTTCTAGCTCGACTACTACAAATACTAAAATAAGCGTAATTCGGGAAGAAAGTAATAGAGGCTTTTGAAGGAATTCAAACTCTATAGCCAGGTTTTTTGCAGAAGTTATTTTGGAGAAAAAGTGCGAGAGCGGCTACTGTGTTTTCCAATGCCTTCTGCTTTGGGTATGTGCGGGGAGTTTTTAGGTGTGCGCGGAGGGTAGCTCGTGAAAAAGGGCTGTCATCACAGCCTCGACGGCAATGAACTGCACCATCTTCACACTGCTTCGTTCAAGCCCAGGCATCTTCTTCTCGAGGGCTTGAATTGGCAGCAAGAGAGAAGTGTCAGTCGACCGGATAGAAGGCACCGGTTGGTGAGCGACGGCTGCGATCCGGTTCCAAGAGTCGCTGTACAAGATGGAGTAGTGGAATGAAAGAAACCTCATTAGGTTATAGAGGAGCAAGCCTGGCATTATTATAATCTGGGACTCAGTATCGTTTTGCTCTGCGACTGACAAAGGATTTTAGGGGCAACACATGATTTACATTGGCAATAGGCCTCGGTTTGCTCTCGGATTAATAGTTTTGGTGGACAATTAGGGCACTGCTCTTAATTTTGTATGCTATACTCACCGGTGCGGCACGTCTCATGCCCTACGGGAGGCGGAAGTAGACGTTAAAAATAACAACAACAACCATGGTATCTTCCAATCATTCACCGTCCTGGTGTAATGAGGTTGATTGATGATCCTGAGTCGATCATGGCCATTGCTTGTCCTTCAAATGGGTGTGTCCAAGTCATCTGGACTTCGTAAATCGAGCCCTCGTCTCGACTTACTTCGAGGATCTGTGGCGGTGCACCTACTCGCGGCCCTCTTGCGAGGAGCTGGCGCCATTTTCCTGTCTTCTGCGGCCACCACGGCGTTTCCTCTGTGATCTCGACGGAGACCCTTAGACCGTGCTGGTGCCCGAAGACGATGCTGCTGCTGCTTCCTTGTTCTTTTGAGTGCTCTGAAACTCTCTTTCTTCACGCAATGCTTGGCGGGCATGTCATTGTCGTGCTTTGTCGGCCATGTGGATTGAGCAATTGATTTTGCAGCAATCCTGGTACCGTGTGTAGAAAGATTCCATGCACTCCCTGCTGTATCCGTCCTTGAGGGGAAACTTCAAAAGTTTTCCACCTCCTTCACGAGGGCGGGCGCTACCGACGTCCCACATCTCAATAGATGTCTTGTGGTATGTTCCCTTGAGTTCGGCCTCCTCCCGATGAAGCTTTTCGACCGACCTGCTGATGTCCTGAATGTTGTTGGCCGGCAGCTCCCTCAGCAGCTTCCGGATGCTGGCTGAGAAGAACATATTCCAGTGTTTTCCCAGAGCGTCTCCACCGCCAAGCCATCCATGCTGGTTGTCCTCGACGAGCTCCTTGAACTTGACCGCAAGCTTCTTGATGGCCGTGGACATGGCGACGTTGTTGTCGTCGTAGGCAGGGTAAGTGCAGTTCTCCTGGAGGGACTCGACAAATTTGGCGATGGCTAGGATTTGCCCCGTCTGCAGGTCCGCACCCTGGTGGCTGTGAAATTTCTGCTCCATCTTGCTTGAAGAGTCGTGCCGGTGGCCGGAAGGCAGAAGTGTGGTGATCGAGTGTTTGGTGCGTAAGGGACAACCCAAGATGAAGGAAAACAACAATCTCAAAGTGGTTTTATACCACTTCTGATCAAGAAAAGGTGCACTACTTACCATTTACTTGCGTGGTTCACGCCAAGATTACCGCCAGTCAAAGTGTGGATAGATAGAACCTTTCGTCCCAGGTTTGTTGTTCCTGACAAGGCGACACACGGGTTGGAGACTCGAGTTCACTTTCACTGCTAAGCAGTCAATTGTCATTGTCCGGTTGCACAGAGTTCACTTCACAGACCCCACGTGCTGATTTTTTTTCATGGCTCGTTTCCTGATGTTCGTGGTATTTCTCAAGTGAAGGCTGACTAGGGCATGAACGGTTAGCTACCGGATGCTAAGAACATGCCATGGGCTTTCCGTCCGTTCATTAGACTCCGCCATTGTCTACTATCCCTAATTCAGCTGGCCATACGGCTAAACAAGCTCGACATCCACCATAGGTAGTGTAAGAAACTTTTGCTTCGTGCGGCCCGTCACAGCAACGGCTCACATGTTTGCAGATAGACCTTACCACGGCATTCGCTTCTCATAACGTTAGTCCCCAAATTTTCCGCAAAGCCAATCGAAGAAGACCTCACCAAGCGACTGACCATAGCACCAAGCGGTCTACAGTGACTGAGGCCTAAGACTGGGCCTTGCTGCCACCACCAACGCCAACGCCAACACCAGCAGTAGCAGTAGCAGTAGCACCACCCTTCTTCTGGACAGCAATAGTAACCATCACAGGGCCAGTACCCCTCAGACCAAGCTGATGGACCACCGAGACAGGAGGTTCCTCATCAACATGCATGAGAAACCCCGTTGTGGCCAAGAACCTGTAGATAACCGGGTCACCGACGTTGAACTGGCGGTTGGCATCAACATCAACATTGACTACCTCCACCTCCTCCGAGTCATTGTCGTGCGGAATGCCAGCAAGCTCTTCGATCCTCTCGTTCAAGCGAAGCTCCTTTGTCACGTCCTTGAGAGCGTGAAGCACGCGTTTAAAAGTGCGGACACCGTCAACACCCTCCTCGCGGCGCGGACACTTCTCCATGTGGGCGGCGAGAGCCTTGAAGAAGGTGGAGATTTCCTGCGCCCAGGAGACGGGGTCGTCGTACTTTTTCTGGAGATAGCGGATGAACCGGTCGTCGAATTCCTTGTCTGACATCTTGCCTGGGTCGTCGATTGGTACTGATGGATGGGTGAGGTGAAGAGAGCGTACTGAGATGGGATGTCCAAGTCGCTGGTTGTTCTGGAGCGTGATGACGGGGAGTCTTATATGGGGAAGATGGTCTGGTGAGGAACAATCACAGCAACTGCAGACGCACTCTGGATACTCAACAAAAGAAGCATATCCACATGGAAGTTTCCCGACACTCCGGCTTGTTCAAGCTCTGCGAATGGACAGTTGTGTCGCGTCCGTCAACCAAACACAAACAATGCGGAATCACGCGACTTTTGGGCCATCAAATTGCGAACTCTGTGTCTTTATGCCTACCCTTTGGTTGGACGGCGGCACCAACGCGCCTGTCAATACCAGAACGACGTCCAACAAGCTCTGAGCTTCTCGAAATCGGTACGGCGGTGACGCTGTTTGTTGGAAAAGCGTTGCTGGAATCCGCTGGCATAGGATCCCTTCAACCCATTCATCTCCGCACTTGTGTGTTGCAACCCGTTCCCGTCTTCCAAACAAGAGCTAAGTACGCGAGGGCCCACCCTGGCTGACCAGTACCAGCAGGAACGATGAAGAATAATGTCCATATCCCCAGGTCATCGGTCCAATTCTCCGATGCAAGAGGGGATGTGCGCAGTCGCGTATCTGAATAAATGAGAAAGAGAAATTAGCAAAGGCCCTGCATTTTGTCAACTTAGAGAACATGGTGACAATGAGGAAGGCAAAAGTTGCGTGAGTCATTTGACAGGTGGCCAGTAGCAATAGACAGTGGACACTCACCAATTGTTGTTTCCCAAGTTGAAGTATCGTCAACCCCACCACCTAGGCAGCTACCTCTAGGCAGCTCCTTCCGTCTTCGCCTCTTTGTTACCCTTGTTATTGGCCGTGATGTGGCTGGTAGGGGCAGGAGCGTTGATGGCTTTCTTTCGGATGTTGACAGTCACGATGGCGGAGGCGCAATCGCTGAGGTTGAAAGTCGAGGTTCTAGCGGCGTCGGAAATGCGGACTGTGAGAGAGCCCTCTGTTTCAACTTGTGTAGCGAAACCACCCCTCGAAATGGTTGTAGCCGCGTCTCCGTGCTCGGCACGCTTGTTTGGGCCCTGGCAAGAGGTACACTGAGCTCCAGTGGCAGCAGTGACCTTGCCCTCGTCATGGTTCTCGCCAGCTCTTTTTTCGTTGCCGTTCTGACGCGTAGTAGGAATAGGAGCTTGCGGAGTCTTGTCGTGGCCAGCTGGACCAGTAGGCAGGTCTGGTAGAATCTGGATGTTTACCCTGCGGGCACGAGCATCGGCTGCAATTTCCTCGTGGTTGGGAGTTGCAAGTGCTTTGCCTAATTCGGCGGTGGTTGACGGGACGTCCCTCACAAGCTTCTTGAGGCCCATAACGAAGTATCTATGCCATCCCTGCGAATATTCTGCACCGAGCGGCGGCAGTGCGTGATGTTTAACCGCCAGGTTCTTGAGAGCATCCGAAAGCTCGCGCTACCAATCTGTGAAATCAGAAGCATCATCAGAGAGGTGAGGCAAGTCTTCTGCCGCTTGTTCCTTGTCCACGTCCTCCTTCGCCATTTTTCCGGCGCGGATCTTTGAGTGAGTTGAAGTTGAGATGGAGCTAATTGAAATAGTAACGGAGGAGAAAGAAAGCCGCGTAGGACCACCGCGCTTTTGAAGACGGTGATAGTGCGTGGAGGACGAGTCCTTTTACTGGAAAATAAGAAACAGGAAGAGTTTTGCCGATGGACAGAAGTAAGGAGAGAAATAAATTCTAGGAAAGGAAGAGAGATGGGCGTTCTTATGGGCAACCACCTGCTGAAGCTTGCTCGAAGGCGCTTGCTGCAAGTTCCGACGATTGACGCTGGCATCTTGTGATCTGATCAATTTGATCCCAAATTACAGCTGAAAGGTTGAGTACCGACTTGATCCAGGCTCCACAAGCAGTTTCCAACGACAAACGACGGCAAAAGGGAACACAGGATGGAATCACGAAAGGTACACATATAGACTGCGCTAAGAGAGATAGGATGTTTGATGACGCGTGGTAACAAGTGACGCGGGAAGATACCTGCTATGATGATATCGTGAATGTCATTACCAGTTCCTAGGTGGATTAGCTGCCGAATTCGTTGCTCCCTTGTGGGAAGCACCTATTCCACGATACATCACTGCTTCCTAACCAGGTCAACATCTGTCGCCAAGACCGTGCTCAATTCTAAGGGGCAGGCCTTCAAGGTACCTGGTAAGTACGCCTAGATGGATGAGTGGTAAGCAACGGCCACGAAACGCTTGAAGGCTGAAGGGATCAGTTGCCAAACGATGCTGATGTGGAAACAGGCTGATTGAAGCCTACCCTTTAGTTGGCAACGTCCTTGTCCTTGGTGTTGACTTCGACAGTCACCTCGAAGTTGAACGTGGTCGCGCCGTCACCCTCGACCTTGATGCGCTTGCTAGGACGGCCCTCGGCATCATCAGTGGTGGTCTTGTCGGCGGCGGCCAGGAGGCACTCGGCGACTTTCTTGGCGACCGCGTCAACAATCTCCTTGGTGGAGGGGGACTGGTTTTTGGGAACAGGCTGCATCTCGATTCCGCGATGAGCAGCCTCAAGGGAGCAGTTCCACTCCACGAGCTTCTGGACAGCTTCAACGCGCTCCTCGGGAGTCTTAGGCAAGTCCGCCAAGAACTTCTGGAAGCTCAGCCCATAGTACTTGTGCCAGTTGTCGTTGTGGTCGCCGTTAGCGCCAAGCTGCCTGTACTTGGGCGAGCGCTCGAGGGCGTTAAACTCGAGCATCCACTTCCAGTGACCGGTAGCCAGTACCCCCACTGGCCGCCTTCCGTTTTCCAGTCCATTCCATAGCCCATCTTTCACCAGCATCCCACTTCAACACGTGCCGACGGGTTCGTTTCAGAATGGTGTGTTGTGTGAACGGTACCTGCACTCAGTCTAGCTGCTTCCACTTGTTTCCTTGATCCATTTCACACCCGTCATCAAGTGCTCATATTCACGCCGCATCAAGTACCAGACGGCGTCCTTCCAAGCATCGCTTCACATGAGTCGAGAGTCCAAATTCGACGTCAATCAATTGAAAAGGATGAAAACAGCGCCTTTTGTTTGGCTGTTCACAGGGAATGCCTGTCAAGTTACCTCTAAGGTATCGTTTTCCTGGAGTCGCCAATCCCACCAAAGCGGCTTTCTAGAGCTTCCGTCTCGTCTAGCGCCAGTACCGGTTAAGCGAGTTACTCTTCCACCCTTGACGTGGCCGCTTGGTAGGTATACCTTACGCATTCACCCATTATCCCCCGCTGTCATTTTCATCCTTGGCTCGCAGGCCCGCGTCAACAAGCACAGAGTGCCGAGGCTTTGAAGGTGTGTCTTAAGAGGCATAGATGGTTAGCAAGGCCTACACAATGGTCAAAGTTAACGGTGGAAGATTCAGGGGGTGTCTGGAGGAGACGAATCGTTTCCCCAGCTGGCTCGAGGCAAGTGCTTGTGTTGAACCCTTGCTGTCACGTTCCTTGAAGGTGCCAATGTTGGACGGAGACAACTCACCACGTTGCTGCTTGCTAACTTCGAGGATGGCGTAGCCTCCAACCTAGGCCTCTTCCTCCGACATCACCTCGATCTTCCTCTTCTTCCTAGGGTTCTCAGCAGGACCGACAACAGCGCTGTTAATACCAGCGACAGCACCGGCAACAGCGTTGTCACCATCAGGGACAGCAGCGATAGGCGCGACAGGAGCGGCAGGAGGCATGGCGCCAGCCGGAACAAGCTGAAGAGTGGCCGGGCCGTGGATGAGCCACTCGATGTTGTGGCTGGCGTTGGTGATGCGGACCGTCGTGACTCCCTCTGGTCCTCCCTCTACATCGCAGCCCACAATTTCGTGCGACAGGGGCCGCATGTTGGCGGCCTCCAACTCGACGAATTTAGGCTTAGCGAACATCTCAAAACCATAACCCAGCACCTGGGCAGGGCTCTGGCCATCAGCATGGTTCATGTACCTGTGGAAAACCTCCGAGTGGAACACCACCTTTCCACGCTTGAGCTCAGCCGTGATCTCCACCTCCTCGCGGGTGAGCTGATCGACGGCGGACTCAAGGGCATCGCGGTCGTCAATGGTGGGATAGCTGCGGATGAACTTCTTGAGACCCTTGACGAAGAACTGGTGCCAGAGCCCGCTCATGTCAGTCTCGGAGTCGGAGTCGGAGTCGGCGTCAGCTCCAGCTCCTGGCGCAACTCGGGGATTGCCTTCAATGGCACGAACGCGATAGTCGACTGCGAGGTCTTGCATGACTTGGGAGATCTGGTGGCGCCATTCCTGGGACCACTGACGGTCACGAAGGTAGGCGACAAAGGCCTCTGTGGCCAATGTGCGGGGATCAGGTACCTCCATGTGGTTCATGTTTGGTCTGTTTATGTTTGGCAGGTTCATGTTTGGTCCATTCATGTTTAGTCCGTACATGTTCGGTAGGTTCATGTTTGGCTGGTTCATGTTGAGTGGGTTCATGTTTGGTTCGTACCTGTTTGGTCCGTTTATGTTTGGTTGGTTGATGTTTGGCTGGTGGGTTTAACGCCGCGGTGTTGTCAAGACAAGGACGGTGTATTGTCTAGATTTGTTTGGACTTCGGAGGGGTGATGGAGGAGGAAAAAGGGGAAGAAGCGAGGCTTTAAATACTGGAAGCGACTGTTGGTAAATGGAAAGGGGTTCGGTGAATGGGCTGGGAAGAAAGGCACGCGACCCGGAACCTCAAAAGGTCTTGCTGACCTTGAGCAGAACGATTCACTAACATTTGACCGCGTCCAAACCTTACAGCATTTCTGAACCGGTCGATGCTAACTGCTCGTTTATATTTAGGCTACCTACGTATAGGTCTTGCAAAGCGAGCATGCCACGGTCAGCAACAATATCTTCTTAGTGCGGTGGAAGTCCCCAAATACTCACCACATTATCGCGTCCTCCGGTCACGTCATCCTTCCACCCAGCGCCTCATTTCACTCGGGCTCTCTTCTTCTTCTTCCTCCATATCCTCGTCCAGACCTTGCAGCTGCGGTAACAGCAATACTTCCAAGAGAAGTACGAGCAATTTCAATCGTGGCAGTATCGCCTTGGAGCGTAACCGGCGCAGCACCGTCGAAAAACACATTCCACGTCGGTACTACTGACGTGGACTGTTGTCGGTCCGAGGCTTTCGCCGTCGTCGTAGGTGACGTGGACGGTGGTTCTCCGCTTGATACCTCTACGCCTGGCGGGCCGGTTCCTGAGCTTGTGTGATACCGGAGCGGGGCTAGCGGTTCTAGACGCGTTGTCGTTGGGGTGAGAGCTCTCGTGGTCGCTGTGGTCATCGTCGTGGTCGTGGTCGTGGTCGTGGTCGTGGTCGTGGTCGTGGTCGTGGTCGTGGTCGTGGTCGTGGTCGTGGTCGTCGTGGTCGTCGTCGACAGGAGATCGAGATCGTTTGCGGTTGGCATTCATGGCGGCATGTGCATGTGCATGCTCTTGACCTTCGTAGTCTTTCCGGATATCGGAAATATTATTTGCCGGAAGGTTGCCCAGCATCCTCTTGGGACTCCTGACGAAGCCTCCATCAGTGGGATCCACGCCCGACTGTACGTCGTGTCCGTCGAAGACATCCTCGAACTCCAGCAGTGGACCGGGATCGGGTGAGCCTTCGCGAGGCTCCGAGCGGAATGACTGCCAAGTTCGGTAGTCTTCTTGACCCTGACCCTGACCCTGGCCCTGACCCATACTAGGCAGTGGTGGCAGCGGTGGAGCGCTGAGAGACGGCATCATAATCGGTCGGGCGTCGCCGCGTCCTGTAGAGATTATGGAGAAAAGGGGACCGCGGAGCAGCCCCGATTTGAGCTCAAGCCATTCCTGTGCTTGTCTGCCATCTGGATCATTGCTGAAGCCAGGGAAAAAGGGAAGGTGGTCCATTGTAAGGTTTGGTTTGGCTGGTTGCAAACCAGGAATGTGGGAGTTTTGGCAGTTGCGAGACGAGTAAAGGGACTGGACTCTGTAGGTTGATGTGGAGGGGTAAGAGATGGGTCGAGCTCAGTGGTTTCCAAGTTGGGTCTTTAAGCAAGAGGAGAAGAAAGATTTCAGGAGAGAAGGAAGAGGACACGGGGTTCCTTTTTAAAGGGTTACAAATCAGTTTTCAAGCCACGCTCAGTGCAAGCCTTCATTCTGCATCATTCGATGAGGCGACACAATTGTAGCACCCCGCCACCTTCGAGTACCGAGGATCACGAGGATTCGTTGCAGTGGGCAGTGTTTGATGCACATGCAGCTACATACTTGTACACCTCTACACGTGCAGATGCCCACTAACTCGCCAGTGAGTTGATTTCTGCAAGGTTGACTGTCTTCGATTCGGACGCTTTCGGCAGTTTGTTTACATCAATTAATGACTAAGTGAAGCTCTTTCTAACATAGGTACCGTAGGAACTCGAGTAATCCGTCGAACCTCCCCCTTTTTGATTGGCGGGCTGAGAACAGATCTGTGCAAGTAGTTAACATAATCACGCCGGTCCTTTGTTGTTGTTGTTGTTGTTGTTGTTGTTGTTATTTTTAACGTCTACTTCCGCCTCCCGTAGGGCATGGGACGTGCTGCACCGGTGAGTCTAGCATACAAAATTAAGAGCAATGCCCTAACTGTCCACCAAACCCATTTATCCGAGGGCAAACCGAGGCCTATTGCCAGTGTAAATCATGTAATCACGCCGGTCCTGTGTATGCAAATGTGTGCAAGTTAATGTCAAGGGCAATCGCCCTCAATTTTCACCATCTGGAAAGAGATTTATGCTGGCATACCTACCTATGCGGACACTAGCTGCCGGATTTCTACCTTCTGGCCGTTCGGCGGATTACTCGGTTCCTACGGTACTTCCACGCTCGCTCCGGAC